ATCCGCGTATTAACGCGGGTCCTATTCTAGTAAAATATAATAATCTTTTAAGTGATTCTCAAAATATTAGAGCGAAACAAAAGGTTTTACTTCATCAGAATAATAAAAACAAAAACTGAGGTTTATACTCTATAACACTTAATAACAGCAAATCTTTTGTTTGATCCTCTTAACTTATAATGACCTAAACCAGACCAAAATACATTACAATTGACTATATTAAATTAATCAGCTTGGTGAGCTGTAGAGAGAGAGACTTTCGAATTTGTCTGAATAATCCTTTGCACGTTTCTTGATCCGCAAGAAAAGATATAATTAACTAATAATCTCTTTAGTCAAAAGTGTTTAGTTTAATCAAATCAGCTTTATGAGCTGTTTATATATTTATGTTGTTTTGGTCTCATCTTTGAGAATGTGAAGCAAAAGAAAACAAAAAACACAGAGAAATGGAGAAAAGGGAAGATCTTGAGACGATCTTACCTTTCTTGCCGCTTAAGATTCACGATTCGTCTCTGTCTTGGCCATCTTCGCACTTGCTTGATGTTTTAGAAGCTATGACTAAAGGACCGAGTCAAAGCCGAGTAGACTCGGGACAAACTCTGTCTGATTCAATCTCTAACATGAGACAAGCTCTCTCTTTGACTTGTTATCTTTGTTCATCAGCACTTGAAGGCTACGCTCTCTTCTTCGACGAGGTAACAAAAAACTCATTATATCTAATTTAATCGGATTAATGGAGTGAACAATGTAGTGGTTTGGTGCAGAGAATGTCTAAAGAAGAATCAAGCATAAGGTTTAACGAGGTTTTACCTTCAATGGCTTGTCTTCTTCTAAGATTCCCATCTCTCTTGGAACTACATTATCTGAATTCAGAGAATCTCATCAACGGAATCGAAACCGGTCTTCGTGTCTTAGGTCCCAAGAAAGCCGGCATTGTGTTCCTCAGCCAAGTATATGTTCCAAATTCAGACACTTCTTAAGTAGATTTTCTATATATATATATACAAGAAGAGAGATTGAAATCTGTTTTTGTTTTGCTTTGGTAGGAACTTATAGGAGCATTGCTTTCATGTTCTTTCTTTTGTTTGTTCCCTGTCGATAATCGAGGCTCGAATCATCTTCCAAACATCAATTTTGACAAACTTTTCGGGTATACATTCTCGAAGAAATCCATGTCCAAGATCTTGTGTTGACTTATATTACAGGAGCCTAGTAGATACAGGACAAAACGAGAAGCAAGAGGATAAGATAAAGTGTCTAATTCATTACTTTCAGAGGCTATCTTCCTCTACCTCTCCTGGATTCGTCTCATTCGAACGAAAGATCCTCTCCTTCGAACAAGATATTTGGAGCAAGTCTACTATCAACCTTTGCCCTGTTGAGGTAATCAACTAACCAGACCAATGCTTGAATCTACAATAAGGAATTTACAGTTTTCAACGGTGTGTGTAGGTTCATACTTCTGGTCTAATCGAGGATCATTGCGTTGAACCTCTTGAAGTTGACTTTGCCAATAAGTACTTAGGAGGCGGTGCTCTTCGCAAAGGATGTGTCCAAGTCTGTAAAATCCTTTTGATCTTGTGAAAGTTTTCTCAAACTTGGACTAATGTTGCTTGATGTGAAAAAAAAACACAGGAAGAGATTAGATTCATGATCAATCCAGAATTGATAGCTGGAATGCTCTTCTTACCAGCTATGGAAGTCACTGAATCCATTGAGATTGTTGGTGCTGAAAGATTCTCTCATTACGAAGGGTACATCTTGTACACTTTTGAGTTATATATTCACAGAGAACCATTAAAGAGATAATTACTAAAACAACTTTGGAAAGTAGGTTAATTACTACAACAACTTTTATTCAGCTTTGAAACTCAATACAAGTTATAAAAGACAAATAAATTTTAGTAACAAGTTTTTATTATGAAAATGCCATTCATAATTTGCAAAAAAAATATATATATATCAAACATTTGTTTGAAACTGCGGCCGCGGAGGCTGCGGAAGCACCGGATCGTGTTCGGTGGAGGTGTGGAAGCTGGAATTTAGGTAAAAATCGGATTAAAAATCAAAAATTGGAAAAAAAAACTCAAAATCTTTTGATTTTTTGTTAGAAAAAAGATATATGATGTTAGATCTACTAGTTTTAGGCAAAATCTAGTTGAAAACGAGTTAAAATACAGTAAAAATGAGCTAAAAATGGCTGACTGCCATTGTTAGGGTTTGAGAAAAGTTTGGTGTTTTGTGGAGAATATGAAAGGTAAATTACGATTTTACCGTTTATTGAATAAATCTACCACTACCATAAATAACTCTACCATATATTATAAATCTACCACTACCACGACTATAAATAAGTCTACCACATATTATAAATCTACCACTACTATAAATAAATCTACCACTACTATAAACAAGTCTAAGGGTGTTTTAGAAAAGAAGTGAAAAGATTGAATAAATTTACCATTACAACAAATAAGTCTATCACTCAAAAATAAATCTACCACTACTGTAAATAAGTCTACGATGACGCAGACCATCAATAAATCTACCGATCACAAAATTAACTCTACCACTACTAGAAATAAGTCTACCGATCACAAAATTAACTCTACCACTACTACAAATAAGTCTACCACATTTTATAAATCTACCACCACTATAAATAAGTCTACCATTGCGCGAACCATCAATAAGTCTACCGATCACAAAATAACTCTACCACAACTACTAATAAGTCTATCACTCAAAAATAAATCTACCACTACTGTAAATAAGTCTACGATGACGCAGACCATCAATAAATCTACCGATCACAAAATTAACTCTACCACTACTAGAAATAAGTCTACCGATCACAAAATTAACTCTACCACTACTACAAATAAGTCTACCACATTTTATAAATCTACCACCTCTATAAATAAGTCTACCATTGCGCGAACCATCAATAAGTCTACCGATCACAAAATTAACTCTAACACTACTACAAATAAGTCTACCACATTTTATAAATCTACTACCACTATAAATAAGTCTACCATTGCGTGAACCATCAATAAGTCTACCGATCACAAAATTAACTCTACCACTACTATTAATAAGTCTATCACTCAAAAATAAATCAACTACTACTGTAAATAAATCTACGACTTCGCGAATCATCAATAAATCTACCGATCACAAAATTAACTTTACAACCACTAGAAATAAGTCTACCGTTCACAAAATTAACTCTACCACTACAAGAAATAAGTCTACCACATATTATAAATCTACCACTACTATAAATAAGTNTACCATTGCGCGAACCATCAATAAGTCTACCAACCACTTAATAAATCTACCAATCGCAAATAAATCTACCATCACATGAACAGTAGACTTATTTGCTGCCTCATTAATGGCATTTTCGTAAATACGTTTTTTCTCTTCAAATGAAATAAGGCTAAAACGGGTATTAATAGTTTTTCGAGGTTGTTTGAGTAATTTTCAAAGAATAGCATCATTTTGGTCAAAAATCAACTTTGTAAGGTTGTTTTAGTAAAGCTCCCAACATTAAATGTGATTCTGAAATGTTTCTACATTCTATAGATATTCATCTTCGTTTCAGTTTACTGCTAATTACATTGACACAAAGGAAATAAATGTTTTCGGTAGGCGAAAAATAAGAATCATCGCTATAGATGCTCTTTGTCACCCCGGGATCTCTCAATACAAACCCGAATCCCTCCTCCGGTAAGAATATTATAAATACCTAACATGATGCTATTAGGAAATGAAACGCTGTTAGGAAATGTCGTATAAACAACAAGACCATACGATCGATACCCATA